TCTCGGACCTACTCATCTAGGTCGAGACCATGTCTTCTGGGATCCGGGATCCAAGATCTGAGATCCGGGATCCAGGATCTGGAATCCGGGATCTGCTCACTTAGGCTGAGCTCTTGTCATCTCGGACCTACTTATTTAGGCCGAGATCTTGTCTTCTGGGATCCGGGATCCAGGATCTGGAATCCGGGATCTGCTCACTTGGGCTGAGCTTTTCTATACTTGAATGTCATCTCCTTGGGAGCACTCATGCCCCCTGTCTTTGCGTCCCTTCTGGAAGGGTCTTCACTCCATTTATGTCAACACATTCTCCATCTTTGCTAAACTCGTTGTTTCCGATACGTTGATCTTGTACAGTGATGGCCATCTATTCTCCTTTCTTTCCCACAGACGGCGCCAAATTGTGTGAGTGATTTTCTGACCACATTGCCCGCTTAGTAACCAGCTGGAGAGCACCAGCAGAATAGATGGCACTTGGCTGACCTGCAACAGAAAGAGAAGATTCCGGTGGTGGTTCGTCCACCCGGGGGCACTCCGACGATCAAGTCAGTATATCTTTCAAAGATAATCAACAGCTAAACTCACAAGCTTGAGTATCAAAAGCATACCTTAGACCCATGGGGGTGCCTCTTTTTTATAGCCAACATAAACCTAGTCCCAATAGAAGCCTAACTTCTATGGACTCAGGATTACTGCTAATCTTGGACTCCCAGTAAGATTAGGATAAACTCTCTAAGAGTCTTATCTTAATACAAACTGAAGTCTTCTCTCATTTTAGGACTCTTGCCCCTCATCCGCTTATCTCGGATTCCGATATCTTCGGAGCCTCAGCCTATCCGAGATGACCTCGGCATAACAACCAGGACACGTGGCACCTCGGCTGACACGTCGGCGTCACCTTGGTCACGTGTTGGTACTCAGAAAATATATCCCCACAGAAAATGATGCTTTTTTATATTAAAAGAAGAGAGAAGGCAAAATAGGCAAATTAATATAAACTCTTGTTCAAGTAATATATATAAAAAAGAAAAAAACTAGGGAAAAAAATACAAAGAAAGCCCAAACCAAGAAAGGAAAATCATTGAAAAAAACAGTAAAGCTCAATATACCAACTTGATCTGCATCCACCAGTCAATTTGTTGAACTCGCTCGATTAATTTTGAAACCATGAATGATGAGATTCAAATGAGATTTCTCAACTCGATCTCATTCAATTTGGTGGTGAATGAGATGCAATACAAATACCCAACTAGTGATTACCCCTAGGTTAAACCCATGCGGAAATGGATCACAGAAGTGAAGGGAATTTTGAATGCCAATACTACATTTTGAGACATGAAATTTTGATTACTAAAGTAGTCGTTTTCTTTCAAAACTGAATATAATTGATTTAAACAATGAAACTTAAAAAATTAATTTTGTATTGTTTTGAGAGATAATAATAATATAATATGAGAATTATTAGTAATTAATGTAGAATAACGTCATGTGCCAGGCACCAAACTCTTTTGGAAAAAATAACACATCAATGGGGGTACATAGCTCACATTTTGGTAACAACAATAACATAGACTTTCACAAAATACAATTTCTACAACTCTTAAAATGATATGAACTATTTATAGATACAATTTTTAAAAAAAATTCAAACACATCAATAATCAATACATCAGTGTAGGTCATGAGAGTTCTCTTTTATAAGAGTCCCAAACATTTTTCTTTTTGTAAAGATATATATATTTTTTTAACAGAAGTGACACACACTCATCAGAGCATGCGCAGCCATGTATGCTCTCAAGCCAACCTAACCCCTTCCTATATCATTCAAATGCCGTAGAACATCTCCCCCCAAGTCCACAACTACCCCTCTCTTTCTACTACCTACTTCAAACTAAAAACAAAATACAAACAAAAACAAAAACAACTTGATTTGAGAATAAGCCATGCGTAAAGTTGTAACTAACTGGGTCGAGTTGAGTGATTGATTTTTAAAAGGGAAATTACTAATGAGTGATATTGTCAAAAAGTTATTATAAATTGATTAAAAAAAAAATTATGTCTTTAATTATTACGACAATGTTACGTAACTCAAATTTTGTGACTCAAATGGCCAAAACGACGTCATTTTGCGTACAGAACAACATAAAAATAGTCAAAACGACGTCGTTTTGGCCATTTGAGCCACTTTTGAGCCACAAAATTTGAGTTACGAGACATTTTCCTAATTATTAATAGTTATTAAGTCTTGGTTTGGTTTTTAAGTTGGGACTAAATAAGCACATAAGGACAAAAAAAAAGAAACAAAATTACAAAATGACAAAACACTTAATTTTTTATGTAATTACCAAATTGACCTATATGCAAACAAAAAGTCAAAAAAGCATCATTTCAAGTGGAGGGCAATTTTGTCATTCCAATACAAAAAAGTCAAAAAAAACCAAACAAGAAAACCAAACGAACAAAAAGTCTCAGGCTAAAAAAATTAAAAAAATCAAAAAGCCAAGTTTGCCAAACGACACCTAAATTGAACACTTATTTGTATTTTTTTTAAAACTTACCCTGCATTGAAATTTCCCCATTTTTAAAATTGATTTCAAAATTTAGCAAGTTTTTACAATGTATTTAAATTTGACAAATCAATTACAAACGAGCTTTAACTGAAGTAATCATGAGTCGAGTTCAAATTGTTTAATTTTTTATAGTGTATAATCGAATTGAATTGAGTTGAGTAATTGATTTTTCAAACTAAACGAGTTTTAAAATATTTGAATTTGACTTGTTTACGTAACAAATTAATTTCAAATAAATTTTTAACAAATTAAATCAAAATAACTTAATTTGTTACATGCGTAACATCATGTACTGCAACATGGATAAAATCCATATCAATTTTGTGCCCAAAACAGGGTCTTTTGGACTCACGAATTAAACAATACCCAAAGAGCCAACAAAAGTTGAATAGCCTACCCCTCCAGGGTAAAATCCATATCAATTTAACGGCACAATTGTCTATCTCTAATACATTAATCTAGTTGTAGAAATGTTTTTTTTTTTTTTTTTTTTTTAATTTTTTTTTTTAGAAAGACACAATTGAAAAAGGAGTTTTGGTTGAAAATCTCTCCTAATAAAATTTTAATACATTAAGGGCAAGTACAAAAAAAATTCTTGAAAAATTCATCCCATACCATATTAACAAAATATACTTAGTGAGTAATTTGTTTGAAATAATCTAAATAAGCACATGTTTTGACTTTTTGCAAAAAGATATACAGAAAAGTTAAAAAGGTAATATGACCCAAAAAAATAAAAAGTGTGTTATTGTAATTTATCCCAAACAAATTTAAATTTTAAAATAATATAATTTTTTATCTAAATGTCAGATTTTTAATAAAATTAATATTTTAAAAATCTTTTCATCAAAATATATCAAACAATATCTATGTTGACTATGAAATTCTTAGAAAATAAAAAATAAAAAAATTACCATCGAAATTGATGTAAACAGTAAAATATTACTCTAATTTTCAGTAACATTTTACTGTTATAAAAAACAGAATACATATTCAATGAACCAACCAAAAATACATATACACAACATTTTTAAACTTATATAAAATAAAATAAAAGTGTTTCTTGCCAAAAAAAAGTTATGTGAAATATATATATATATATATATATGGACAATATTGTTTAAGAAAAAAAAAGAAATTTTACTCTTATCCTTATTCAATTGTGCCTCCTCCTTGGAAGATTTATTAAACAAAATAAATTGAATTATTATTTTCACCAAATAAAGGTCTAATAAAAAGATTTAAACTAAATTTTCCAATTAAAAACAATACAATTCTAGTCATACAATTATATTTTGAAATCTTCATATTTCAAGTTTTACATTACATTATACAATCTAAAATATACTATAAGAAGCATATAACTATATAAATTACCAATGGCATTTATGCACATGAAAAGAAGCACCATCTACTTTTATCCACCATTGCATGTCTGCGAAGCAAATTAAACTTTGACCCACTCATCATCACTACTACTACTACAGCCCACGTCATCTTCCACCATGCATGCATTCATACTCCATGTCCATATATACTTCCTTGCACACAGTCACACACAGAGTTCGCACTTCAAAGATCATAATAATCAGACATAAAACCAAGCAAACCATGTGATTACCAGACACGTTCCGTCCCCAAATTTTTCTATATTTCTGTCCCAAGCACTATTTATTATTTTATACAATAGTAAGTATCCATATCAACAATACAATTATATATCAATTAATATCAGACAATTCATCAATATTTAAAATCATGCTTTTAAAACACTCACAATTATCAAAAAAACAATGTCGAAACATGTCACATAATGCAATGAGAACATATGTTTTGAAATAAATTACACTTCATTCTAAATTTTTCTTCCTACTCTCATTTATTAGTTATAACTTTCAAATTTCTACGCTTTTAATCCAGTGTCAATGTTTCATTTTCCTTCAAAAAAAATTTAAAATTAACGAAAACCGTTGTGCGCCAATGTCAAAATTAGAAAACACGTTGCACAATCGTAATTTTCCATCAATTTTGATGACCGATGTGGATGAGGGGAGACATTGGCATTCCACTAAAATTGTAGGAGCTTGATTGCTAATATGTAATTTTCTTTTTTTGTAATTTGATGAAAATAAAAGCATGGATATTTAAAACAATAACAACAAAAAAAACAGTTTCTCACGGAGGGAGAGAGAGAGAGAGAGAGCATAAGTTCCCGGAATGTGAAAATATTCTTACAATCCCAGCTTGGTTAGTATTTTGGACACTTCTAGAGAGAGAGATAGAGAGAGAGAGAGAGAGGCCATGTCTCATATATATGTAGTTTTGACACTCACCACCTCTGGTTAGAGAGACATTGATCTGCCGAGCGAGTGTAGCGTATCTTAGGTGTACAAAAAGCAAAAGTACTCCAATCAAGATCTGCCACGTCAGCGTTTACATCTGAATCCACCGAGCGAGTTGCGTGGGGTTGACAATCCCTGGTACGTGGGCCCCATCTTCCTTCAGCAAATTTGACACCACCGCATACCTCTCTTGGTGCGGTTGCTGTTGCTGCTTTTCCTGCTGCTTCACGACCTTTCCTCTCGGCTCGGCTTCACAACTCTGGCTCTGCCCCGGCTTCGTCCTCTTCGACTCACCCAATTGACCACGACTATTCGATACTGGCACAGCCCCGGCTCGAGCCGGGTCCCATTTCTGCCCGAACAAAGTACCCTTCGTTAGATACTCGTAAGCCATGTACCCGGCTAAGAGCCGATTAGAAGAAGCTGGCTCTATTGCTTTTGTGGTGGTAGTAACCGCCGTAACTGGTGGCGCCAATGGTTTCGCGACGTAAAAAGCTTCCCTTTCTTTGCGCTTTCGCGACTCCAAAGGAGTTAAGATTTGGCGTGGGTGGTGGTGGCTCATCGTGGCTAGGCTTGGCTTGGCTTCTTGATCTAACGTATGCCAACTCTATTTTAGGAATTTCACGGGAAGGACATGAGGGTAAAATCGTCAAATCATTTCATCAAGAAACGGAAAACTGGGGAAACAGGTAAAAGTGAAAGAAAAAACGAAAAAGCAGTTTAAAAAAATATAATTTAAAAAAAAAAAAGTGTAGGACAAAAACTTGTAAATGACGTCGAGAGTGGAGGACAAAAGTGTAAAATGACAGAAAATATATTTTTTTATGTTTATAAAAAGGACAACAAAAAATAGATAATTCTAAAAAAATCTACAGAAAATAAGAGATAGAGAGAAAGAGAGCTAGCGGTTGTGAGGTCGCCGGGATCTGACGAGAGAGGTAGATCTAAGGTGTTAGGAGGTTTTCGGTGGCGTCGCTGCCGTGAACGGCGGAGGAGCGGTGGAGGGAAGGACTGAGTGGAGAGAGAGAGAGAGAAGGTGAGAGAGAAGACAGGAGAGAAATGGGAGGAGGGAGAGGTTGTTGGGTTTTATAGGGGGGAGAGAGGGGGGAGATGAGCGGCAGGGTTCCGATAAATGTAATATTGTTTCTCTTTGTAATATGGCCCTCCTTATTGACGATAATTAACCAAAATGCCATCGGGATAATGATGCATTGAATTTCCATCACAGTTTATTGTCTTGTGATAATGGTAGCTCTGTAATTATCACAAATGTTAAGGGTATTCTTTAGTGCCAATATACGAATTGCAGTTTGTCCAGTGTTACCCGCGGGTGATGGTTTGAACTTTTAATACTCACAGACCAATAGCGTCCTGCTTGGGTATGCCCAAAAAATTAAATAAAAAAAAATAATTTCGAAAAATCATCTTCTCTTCCCCTTTCAAACTTTTTCCCCTCAAACCCATTCAGGGGTTGTTTGATTTCTAAGTTGGGCTAAATAATCTTAAACTGAACAAAAAAAATTTATAAAATTATAAAAAATCAAAAATCACAAAATGATAAAAAAAAATTTACTATTTCAAAGTTAAAAAATTAAAAAAAGTCAATTAAAAATACCAAACGAACAAAAAAATCTCAGATTAAAAAGGTCAAAAAAAATCAAAAAACTAATTAGAAAGGTCATTGTCAAACGAAGGTTTAATGATTTGATAAATAATCAATCAATTCTTTTCAAGCACTTATTTCTGTTTTTTTAAGCCATAAGTTAAAATAGAAATGATACGGACCTCATTTTTTTCATTCTTACAATTTTCACAAACATATGTCAATTAGAAATAAGAGGGAAAAAAATAAAACAAAACAAAAAGCTGGCCAATCACAATGCATTGGTGATAGTGGGGGTTCTTAAAAAAGGGGTCCCAACCTTTTCCAAGTTAAAATGTGGTTTTTTTTTGTTAAAATAGTCACAAAATAATAAAATAAGTTTTTTAGCCTAATAAAATAAAATATCACATCCAAATCATAATTATTTTATTTTTTTCTCTCATAAAAGTCAAAAAAAATTAAAAAGTCTATCCCAAACGAGACTATTTAACCCCAAACTAAAATAGTTAAAAAATCAACATACATCCCAAATAATTCTTAAATTTTTATTTTTTTTTCCCATGTGATGAGGGAGAAATTGGGAGATGGAGCATTACTCAATAAAAAATTTTACTCCCGTTTCGGATGTTCATTTAGACTAACATAGCCACATAAAACAAAATAGATTATTTTAATCAAATAGGACAAAATATCATATTCAATTCATAACTATTTTATTGTTTCTTTCACAAAAATCAAAAAAAATCAAAATATCTATCACAAACTAAGCTTTTTAACCCCAGGCTAAAATAATCAAAAATTAAAAAAATTAACTCACATCCCATACGAACCCTGTGTAATCTGATAAGATGGTCAAGTTAAAATAGACAAGTTAAATGATAAAAATTAAAGCATTGCTAATCAGAACTAAAAATTAAATTTACTTTTCAAGCTCAATAAATTGACAATTAAGATATCTAAGATAACACTTTCTTTTATTTCTTTTTTAATCATCAACCAATTATATCATTTACACATAAGTGAGTCTAGAAAATAGATTTACAAAAAAAAACTTGTATATCATTTCCTTAAAAATTAATGGATTCTGCTATGATATGCCCCTACTACAAAATGTATAACTTTACCATACTCACCTTCTTTTATCATATCCTATGTTTTTTATTATTTTAAAAGTTTTGTGTTGCTGATTTATGAAATATAATTTTGAATAATATCTTCAATTAATTTTGTGGGTTTTATGTTGGGATTTGAAATGAATAATTTTTTTAAATTAAAATTGTAAGAAAATTAGTGTTTTATGTTTTTTGAAGTTGCTTTTCATTTTGTATGTCTAAGAGTTTCTTCAACACTTACTACTTTTTTTCGTTAAATTTAAACTTGATGAAAAAAGTTCAATTTTAGTACTGCAAGCATAATATCAAACCAATATCAAATTGAACATCTCTTAAACTTTTTGTCAAATTATGGATCTCTTAAACTTTTTCATCAAATTTGAAAGTGATCGTTGGACTGGACGTCCTCCCGAATATCCTCCCAAACGACCTCTTCGTTGCAAAATTATCCTATAGGTTGTGGTCATTTTACACCAAATCATTCGCTCGACCAAATATTTGTCCAATCGTCCTCTCAGTTGACCGGTATTTTGATGAAAATTCAAAAAAAAAAATTTAAAATGCGTGATATCAAAAGAAATTTTCACTCAAATTTGTACTTAGCTTTTGATGGAAAAAAAAAAAAAAGAGTAAATTTTCAAAATGCTCTAACTAGCTCGAATTGTTATTTTGAAAATACTATAATATTCAACCTACTTATTAATTTTGAAAATAAATTGGTTTGCATTGAGTTCAAAATTTTTAAATTCATCAAAAACGGTTTGATTAACAAATTTTTACTTCTCAAATTAGGGAATATAATTTTTTCACATTATTAATAGGTCAATGATTCGAGTTCATGTCCCCAAACTACATCACCCATAGTACCAAATTAAATTTTTATATTTAATTTTGATTCTCGACTCACTCATAATTCCTCCAAATTTTTTGTTTTTAAATCTCATGTTCTATGCCTCCAAATAAATTCTTAGCACATAATTATATTTTAGGGTTTGAACAGTCTCCAGTTTAGATCTGGGATAATTCGGTCCAGTTTGGTCCATTGGACCCAATTTTGGGTCTCTTTTTTTTATAATTAGAATTGTTCACATTTTTTGGTTTGTTGAGTACATTATTCCTATAAAAAAATCACGTCAATCGGATAACAAATACTATATATTCAGATCACTTTTATCTGAAAAAAATAAACGGTTAGATAATTAACGATTCATAAAAAAAAGTGATATGAATATATAATATTCGTTATCCGATCGACATGATTTTTTATAAAGATAATATATTTAACAAATCTAAAAATTTAAACAATTTAAATTATTAAAAAAAATTAAAAATAAATCCAATGGATCAGACCAGACCCTCCAAGTTAAGGGGTGGTTTGGGATGATCTAAATAAATGTACTTTTTGATTTTTTATGAAATATGAATTGGATATGAGTATGGGTTGAGTTTGAAATGATGTGATAGAGAGGTGATGTAACTTAAATAAGATGATATAACTTAAATAGGATAATAATTTTTTTATTTTTTAATTTTTTTAGATTATAACAAATAAAGCCTAAATGGTAGGCTGAAAGCAAACCCAGTCATATTTTAAAACAAAAATGATTTAGAACTCTAAATCCACTAATAATGAGGTAAAAGAAAAAAATACAACATACGCTGAAACCTATCACTGTATCATTAATAATTGCACTAATTAGTGGTTTCTAACCTTATTGATTTTGAAATCTCGTGTTTCAAAGTTCAACCGCGTCACAATTAGAAGGAGATTCGCAATAAATGAACATAGATTTTTGCCAAAAAATAATCTCCATAATGCAAAAGCCTATTAAGGGCACATCGGATTGCCCTACAAATATATATATATATATATATAGAAACAAAACAGGCAACAACTCATTTTGGACAAAAAAATTACACAAATAAATTGGTGAACACTAGCCACCACCCGCCACCATTTTTCACCACCGTCTTCCGCCCCCACCACCCACCCCCCACCTGCCACCACCACCCGCCACCACTACTCACCACCCACCTGCTACCACCATCTACCACCCACCACCACCTGTCACCCACCCGCCACCACCACCTGCTACCACCACCACCACCACCCACTCGCTACCACCCACCACCGGCCACCGTCACCCACCACCGACCCACCACCACCAGCTACCCACCACCCACCGTCACCACTTTTCACCACCGTCTTCCGCCGCCACTTGCCACCACTTGCCATTTCTCACTCTTTTGTATATTTTTAAATATTTTTAAACATTTTGTCAATTATCAAACGCGTTTGTAGTTTATGTTTTTCTACAAATAAACAAAAAAATAAACAAAAACCAGTTTATAAAATTTTTGTAAATATAAACTGAAAACATAAACGTTACCAAACACACCCTATATATTCAGATCACTTTTATCTGAAAAAAATAAACGGTTAGATAATTAACTGTACGGGGAGCAAATATTCCGGCAAGCCCGTACTCCTTTCTTCCGAGCTCCGTTTATGTCCGATCACCTGCGAGCAAATAACGGTGAGCTACCCGGCGATGTGTGGCCGGAAAAACCCTCCGACGATCAAGTTAGCACACACCTTAGGATAGAGGGAGAGAGAGAGAGTGCAGTGTTAGAGTGTAAGAATTTCCTTACAAAATGTTCCTATCCTCCGTATGGGGGGCGCAGACATGCTCATATACCCTTCTGTGCCCCAAATCTACTCCCATTGGTCTCTCGACACGTGCCTCTGTTATCCCATCTGTCAGCACAAATCTTGCTATACATCACCTAACCCAACTGTCAGCCCACTCTGCTGGGAGCACGGCAGCCGGGCAACATTATCTCGGC